AAATATGCGACATCGTGAATTTGTGCATTTCTGGTGTAAACCACAGCGATGACCCCATGCCACCAATTTGGCTGTCGTGATTGGAACAAAGAAACAGCTACTTCTCGAAACCTGTTTTTGGTTATTCTTATTGTTGCAATAGGAACTCCTCGCTTGAGAGTATGTATAGTACGGGCGTGGCCGGACTCCTCAACGCAATGCTTCACCCAAGTGCTGGTAACAAGCTCTTCGAGTGCCAATTGTGAACATCGCAAAGTCGCATATAAATGGATAACAACGGAGGTATATTGTTGACTACAGGTAGGCAATTCAGTTGGTAGGATGCTCGCCGAGCCATCTGTAGGACTGCAAAACCGCCCCTCTTTCCGCATATTGAGCACCACTACCAAAGGGAGTTGGCAAGATAAATACTCCAAGACGAGTAGGATTAATACGCCTGGCAGGACGGAATTCCGCGACCCTGAGCAGGCGCTGCATAATGCCTTTTCCAAGGAAGGTGCCCTTATAAGGCCCTATCAAGCCGCAACATACCGACTCCGAACGCCCACCACGCCCGCCCGCCCACAAATGGACGACCACCTGATGCTCGTATTCATTCATTTGCTAAGCAAATTATGAAGCGAAGGGATTGGTATGAAGCGGCCGTGATGCTGCATGGATATATGAGTACACATATGCAGCCGTACCTTCGGTAGCGGTTATTGGCAAGATGCCTATGGGAAACTCGTCCAAAATTGATTACTAACACAGTGAGAACGGAGGCTCTTTCTTCGCAGGATTTTGACCGTTTCACTCCGTTCTTTCGCCATTTCCCCACTATATAGCGCCCTACTAGCATTTCAGGCCAAGCATCACATCGTGCCAATTGCCTTTGATCAATCCATTTTGCCCACTGCACCTTGCCCGACTAATCCCTGAAATGCATCTGTGTTTGTGACACCGCGCTTCTGCTCTCAGCACCGTCGTACCTTAGGAATCGAATCGCAAAATAACTGTCGGTTTTCACTGTTTCACGTGCTCTAGACCCTGGTTAGATTTGTTCAGGTGAACATCACATGAGCTGTTTAGTAGAATAGGACCCCCATATACAGTGCCTATGAGGAAGTCCGTCACAGATTGTTGCCCGTACTATACCCATCTTTTTAGAAATCACATTTTCAAGGCATAAAATCTAGAGATATGTACTCATGTTGTTACCCGTAATATTTCGCATGGTTTATTGGAGGTCTCTCAATTTCGAATCACAAAAGTGTACACGTACACACATTGAACGCCTCATTTTTCGATACCACCATTCTATGGCAGCACACATTGTTGCAACGTCCACACTGTTCGTCCACATTCATCCACTTTGTTGCAACGGGCGTCTGGGGTAGATGGGCCGCACCTCGGACAGCATTCGTAAATGCTCGAGCTGAAATGTTGGCGCATACTCATATTTGACATTTCCGGAAAAACAACTAGAATTGAGAACTTACCACAGTCTGATAGTTAATGTTTCTGGATGATGCAGGCGCCTGAGTAAGAACAACGCAGTTCCCGATTCGTCCATGATCTTTACGGCGTCCTTTACATCAATGTTAATGTTGCTGCGAAGCTTCGTCCACATTTCTTCAATGAGCGTGGGAAAGTAGAAGAGCCGTGCCTCGCCGAACGTCTGCAGCAGTGACTTCTCTCGTTCCTTGTCCCCAGTTTGCTCGACCTGGAACGTTGACATCTGGCGTTTGCGTTCTGTGCAGAAAGACAACTACACAATTTTACACTTACCACAACCTCATAGTCTTTCGTCACGTCGTCATAGACTATACAATTTCCATAGCGCTTCTTCTCAACCGCTTCGATTAGGTTGCCCAACAATACCACTACCAGGACAGCGCCCACTGATCTCCTACGCATTCTCGCTCCTCCTTCTTCGTGCTTCAGTAGCAATACCACAGGGTTTCCCTTTCCATACGCATCTCTATGCGCAACACATAGCAACTGGAGTAGCGCATTTGCGTTCAGTGGGATGTTGTCCGGCTCACGGGTCTTCACATTCAATGAACACAAGACGTTGTGTGCAGTGACGATGCGCCGTACGTCGAACAACTCCTCTTCTGGTGAAATGGCCATTTGCTGCGAATAAGAGTCGTCGTCAGGTGGCATGGCGCCCATTCTCGGTGGCACATCGACGTCCATGGCAAGCTTCTCTGATGACACTGTAATGGACGAATCGTGAAATCAGTCAATATGAATAGTGGTATGGTATTGGCTGACCCAAATTTTCGCTGCACTCTGAACACAAACAATCCATACGCTTTTCAGTCGTTCTTCCGTAAAGGGAGCCGTAATTCCACAGAAGCTGTGTCCCTTTCTGAACGACCGATACGTAAATAGTGAAGTTACCAAGTGTTATAGTGTGGGTAAAGGAGAACAGTGCTTACTTCTATGTTTCGTGTGGCCTTGAACAGGACTATGTGCTCGCTCTGATTCCCCTGGTCGGTCGAGAAACGAGCGAGTGGGTTGCAGAGGTTTGAGGTTGGCATGCTTTTGACTGTGGTTGAATAGACGACCCAGTACTACAGCGCCCTTGTATATGGGATCATGGACAAGGATTGAGTAATCCTGCGCTGTCGAGCTGCCTT